CCATACATTACACACTTTAACTTTACTAGCAGAATATGTGTCAAGTGAAATCCCCTTGTTCCATTGCTCTGACCTGAATGGTATTGACAGCTCCTGTGTTTCATCCCTCCCTTGCTTCATATCTCGTTCAGCTTCTCCTCCCTAAATACTGACACCATCACTAAGTGAGTTACCATCACTAAAATTTGCATCAATTCTGTTCTAATTTTGCTCTGTAAAGTTAGCAGAACTTGAAATCACTATTCTTTTGCTCCCATCACTAAAGCAATAGCTCTTTGAGCCCATAAACCTGAGCTTTCTAGTCTTTTGTTGTCCCTTTTTTCTAATTGCTTTTGGAATATGCACCCATGCATTGCTTCCAAACACCCTTAAATGTGCCAGAGATGGCTTTCTCCCATATAGCTCTGTGTTATGTCTCACCTGTAACCACAAGTGAGAGTCCAAATGTCCCACAGCAACAAACATGAACAAATGAATATCAGACACCACAGAGTTAACTCCTCTGTAATCTTCGTTGGCAGCTCTCCCAGAAACTGTCTTTGAACCAAGATAATGAGTCACTGGATGATTCAGAGCCAAAAGGGCAAGCAGAAGACTTCTTCCACACTGTGAGGTAATTAACAAGTTGATCCGAACAAGGCTCCAGAGTTAACATGCCTCCTTATATTTCCTGAAGGGGCGTGTCAGTCTCTTAATCAATCTCTGATTCGTCGTCTCCTTCCAGTTTGAGCTTGACGTTTCTGCTTACGTCTGTTCCTTGCATCAAACCAAGATTCTTCGCTTTGATCTTCATCTAAGGTCTCTGGCACGTTCTACTGATTCTCTGCTGACACAGGTGTAATTAACAAGGAAGGTACGGGAGAGGATGAGGACTCCGAAACCTCCAGCAAAGCAGGTTCAAACCCCAATGCCCTATCTTCCTCCTCCTCCTGACTCCCATTTATGTCACTTAACAAGGCAGGCTCAAACCTTAATGCCAGGTCTTCCTCATCACTCAAGCCTATGTCTTCTGACAAAGCAGGCTTGATCCTCTGAGTCACAACAGCTCTGCATATCAAGTTATCATTAATGAACTCCACAGGCTGTTAATTAAATAATTAGCAATCAATATGGCTTCATCCCAATATGACCTGCTCAGACCAGAATCCTCTAGCAGTGAGTCCTTCATGGTTTGTAAGACTCCATTCCGTCTCTCAGCAACCATTCTCAGCTGCTGTATAAGGATTTGTGTGTGTGTTTTATTCCTAACAGTGCCAACCACTGTTGAAAACTTGTTGACATGAATTCATGTCAGTTTGCAGCTGATACCTGTTATTTATACTTTCTTTCTGTGAAGTTTACTCATTGCTCAAATTTCTGTAGCACCTCTATTTTACTCTTTAGTAAATAGCAGAACCCAAACCTGCTAGTCATCCACAATAACCAGTGCATACTCAAACTGGCATTGGCCCAACCAAATCTGCATGTACTAGCTTTAGAGCTTTTGTTGTCTGCCTTATGCTACTTTTGCTTACTGAGAATGGCTTGGACTTTGATGTTTTGCATACTGCACAATCCAAATATGCCTTACATCCCTTTACATGCAATCCTTCTGCATACTGTTCCATTTTTTGAACAACTCTGAAGCTGGCATGCCAAGCTTACAGTTCAAGAGATGAACGTATGACTTACCTTTTGCCACATTTCCAAATGTTTGTGCACAATGAATATTTTGTCCCTTCAGCACATAAAGGTTATCCTGCTTTATGCCCTTTGCACACACTTTGCCATTGTGCTTTATGAGACACTTCCCATTTACAAATGTGGTCTCAAACCCTTGCTTGTCTAAGCTAGAGACACTCAGCAAATTATGCTCCATTTTAGGCACACACAAAATATCATTGAACCTTGTTTCCAAATATGGAATATGGCAGCTCCTGCCTCTTCCAATGATTTTAGCCCTTTTGCCATTTGCCAAGGCTACTGCATCTCCAGCAGCTGCATCCATCCTGTAAAACAATTTAGAATTATTAACAATTGTTTGACTAACCACACTGTCAATTAGCCATTGCTTTCTCCAGCAATAGCTGACTTTTGCAACAGCAGCCTGTCCATCAGCTAATTGTCTTCCTTGCAAACTGCTTCTTGTCTTGAAAATGATTTCTTCCTTGCAAAAGCTTTTTCCATTGCAAACAGTGTTTCTTTAAGTAAGTCTTTTCATCACAAATGAAGCACCACCTCTGTTGCTGGGTTGTAATCTGATATCCCCTGCTGGTCTTCTCTTCTCTGGAGACAGCAAGTCTGGAATTTTCCATTCTGCTCCTTGGGCCCCCTCCTCAGGGATTTCTCCTTGTGGCTTTTTCTAAAATGGTGTTTATTTCGCAGTTCCTGCTCTGGTTTGCATTCAAACACTGCAGAAACAATATCCCCCAATCTAAACTGTTTAAAACCAAAAATGCTGAGATTCAGGAATTCCACACTGTTCTAACTCCACAAAGTTTGCATGTTCACCAGATGCTGCTCAATGGATTATCCCAGTTTCAAACTGGCTCTGTATAACTTCCTTGATAATTGCACAATATTGCATGCTGACACACTTACATGTACAGTCCTTAATTTCCGCAACCTTCTTTGCAGTCTTTAAATCAGCTACATTGATAAATTGATCATCTTTTAAACTTAAGATGATATAAGCCATTGTTCTATCATGTTGCCTCTGATCTGCAGCAGTTAACTTGGGGTGGATTTTCCACAATATCCCACAGTTCCTTAGCTTTCAGGAAACATTCCACCTTACAGCCCAAATAATATAATTCTTCTGATCCAAATGAGGATCAGAGGTCTCCTTAATTTTCTCAGCCATCCTGCAAAGCTTTCTCTGCCTTGTTTCTCACACAGGCAGTCGCTTACAATTCAGTCTTTATGTATGTTCTGGTTCTAGCTGAGCCCATAACCTGTGAGAGTTTGCAGCAGAAATTCAAGTCTAGAAAACACAGATGAGTGATTCAGCAGGATCATCAACTTCTTTATAAACATAACAAGATGAGTAAAATTTACAATACTATTCGTAGATTCTTTCAACATAATATAAACAAAAACACAAGCAGTAGCAGCTCAGTTTGAGTTTCAATTCTTGGCAAAAACACAGAGCCAAACCACACCCAGGCTGTCAGCTCCCATTGGCTGGTCTGTTGCCATGTTTACTTACTTGCTGACTTTGTTAACCATGTCTCTGCCAGTTAATGAATATACTCTGACAAAAACCAACTTAACCATTGTTTTACAAAGCATTAGACTTGACCTTGGTTTATTGGGTTTTGCTTTCAATTAATTACAATTAAACAAAGACTTCTAATCACCTTGGAGTTGTGAAGGAAGAGCAACAGACACAAATTTGCCGCATACCAGTAAGCCAGTTTAAACAATGTATTCAACCTAATCCAATTTTCTGCCATATCCTTAAATTTTTCTTGTATAAAGGAATACATTTTTAAGTTTTATTTGGGAAAAATAACCACTTTTAAACATTTTTTTAAAATAAAGAAAATGGCATGATAGAGAATGAAAGTTATTGAATACACCATCTCAAAGTTCAACACTGAATTTGAAAAAAGAATTCAGCTAAAAGGTAAAACAGATTTGAAATGCATTCTAATATCTCTATGATTTAAATACAAAAATGTAAAGATAATCTTATTGAACATACTGTTTTTGTATTTGTATAGAGTAGGGCTATCAAACTCAATTGCATGAAGGGCCATATCAGCGCTAGGATTGACCTCGGGGCTGGCAGGCATGGCCAACTGGGTGGGTGTGGCTGACTGGGTAGGCATGGCCAGTTTGATACTGCTTACTGGGTGTGACTTGATGCCATTCACTGGGCATGGCCAGCTGGGTAGGTGTGGCTGAGTGGTCATGTGACTGAGCTGAGATGGCTTGTTAGCCCCAATGCAGAGAGACAGATAAGAACTCATTGAGTTCAAGAAGATCATTTCTTGAGCAGTTTTTCTCCAGCTTGGCCACTTTAAGCTATGTAGACTTCAACTTCCAGAATTCTGCCTACTATGCTGGCTGGGGGATTCTGGGAGTTGAAATTGACATAGCTTAAAGTTGCCAAAGTTGGGAAATGCTAAAATGAATAGGGAGGGACTCTGTGCGTGAATCAGTTTATCAGCTAAATATCTGGAGATATCTGGTATTTTACCCTTACTGGGCCTCCTGGCAGCTTGCTCACCTGGCCCCCCGAGGGACAGGGGAAATGGCACTTCATTTGATGGCTGACCCCACAGGACAACCCTATTCCTTGGCCACTGTTACATGATACAAGGCTTCTTCCTCTTCTTTGCCAGCACAAGCAAAAGCTAAGGAGCAAGCAACTCGAAGGGAAAGCAGACATCAAAGAATCACCAACCCAGCAAAGATGGGCCTGTACCACTGCACTTGTCAGGGTACTGCAATCCTCCTTAAGCTGAAGCCACCAGGGAGGGGGGAAGAGAGGAAGCATGCCCTAAAGCAGGGGTCACCAACCTTTTGGATCTCAGGGACCACCAAACTCATAATTTTAAATCCCGCAGACCACTAATATGAATTTTGACTGATGGTGAATTGCTGACATTGGTGGGAAAGTCGGTCCCATATGCCAGAGCTGCAGTAGTCACATCCCAGAGCAACTGCTCCTCCATCCAGGTGCACTGGCCTGCCATGAACTGGAGGAGCTGCTCTGGGATGACCAAAGGGCCAGTCCTGTGACTACTGCAGCTCTGGAATATGGGACTGACTTTCCTTTCACTGTCAGCAAGCCACCCTGGCCGTTGGTCTTACCTTCCAGTTCCAGCTCATGTGGCTCTACTCAAGATAAGGTTTGCGCTCGGCTGAAGGGTGGGGGCCATCAGGTGGGCAGGCCATGTGGCTGGCACAACTTTGTGATCTTGTGCAGCCTGGATTAATTGCTTTGGGGGGAGTGCTTTGAGGGGGACATTTCTCTGAGGACCACCAAAATTTTCTCAAAGACCACCAGTGGTCCCTGGCCCACTGGTTGGCAACCACTGCCCTAAAGGCTGGAGAGCTTCCTCTTCAAGCTGAAGCCACTGAAAGGAAGGGGGAGAGAAAGGAGCATGTGGCTGGAAAGGCTGGAAAACTTCTGATGCCTGGCAACAGTTGCAGCTTGTTGCATGTGTCCCCGCCAGGATGGGGTGGGGTGGGCCAAAGCAACACGAGCCAGCCTCTTTCATTTTATAGGCAAGAATAGCCCCAAAACAGTTTATATTCACAAACTAGGGCGAATCCAATCATGTTGCAGACTGGATGTGGCCCATGGGCCTTGAGTTTGACACCCCTTGTAGAGGAATATCCTGCACCAGCTTATCTGTTTTTTATTTGTAATTTGTCAATGGTAATAAAACTATGAAGAGAAATATTACGTGTCAAACAAACTTATTTTGATTCTATTTAAAGGGTATTCATGAAACTGAAATTTTTAAACAGGTATTTAATTTAAATTTGGTACAGGTTACTAGTGAATAAAGACATTCATATTTAGATCTAAATTCAATCATTTAAAACATTGTGGCAAGTCAATATAAGCAGTATTTTTTTTTAAAAAAGTTATTCAGCACATCCAGTTCAACTGAACAAAGAATAAGCAGTTCTTTTATGAGCCAGTGCTCATTCTAGTTCCAGCCGAAAGGGATGATACATTTCTCCAAATTATGTATTTCAGCAGCACCTACCTTTTCAATATGCATTGCAAAAAGTGAAAAAAGGTTTACAACATTATTGGAAAATGTTTTTACTGAAATTGATGTATATATAATATCCAAAAACAAAAAGCAAATTTCTGGTGCCATTAATTAAATCCAAATGAACAAAACTATTGTACAACTTTTAAATTTTTTGAAGATTCTCCACAAATTTCAAAAATGTGTTGACATGACACATCAAGTGAACCGAAGACACTCAAGTATAATAAAAAAATAATTTATAAGCAAGAACAACTCAAAAACAGTTTATGTTTACAAACTAAGCTCCCTCCATATCAGTGCAGAATAGTATAGGTCATGAAGAAAAAAGGGAACAAACATTCATTCAAATACAAGTAATTAACTGACTTTTTAAGAATAATTATATAGTTCAAACACTTCACTTAGGTATAATTAAAAATGGAACTGAAATCAAAAACATTACTTGACATGCGGTGCTTTTCTCTTGCACTCAAGATATAAGTTGATTAAAAAAGCAAGTCATGAAGTAATCTACTTTTTGTGTCTTAATTTCCAACAAGTATATATATTAATAAACAATCCAGAAGAGACAAATATTTTTCTAGAATGCTATGATCTTAAGTAACATTTGAAAACATTTGTACAGTTCATTAAGATGTGCAAGTGCTAGTCAAGTATTTGGTTGTATGGAATAAACACTAAGACCGGTCTTTCCAGTACTGCCAGAGAGAGAAAAAAGAAAAGGACAGTTGTCAAGTGGGAGCGAACATTGAAAAATGCTGGAGTGCACCTATATTTTGTTAAAGGTATTATTTGGTTTATGGAACCTTGCCTAATTTCAAATACTGAACTTTGGTGACAATTATATAATCTTTTCTCTATTAAAAAATTTCAACTCATTATTTTACAGATTTTTTAAAAAAATATATAACTGCAGGAGTGTATCATTCAAGAAACTAAAACATGATGGATAGGCAAATTTTCTCAAATTTGTTGAAAAGCAAAATATTGTACCTAAGAGGTCTTATTTTATAAACCTCAGTTAGGTACTAATGATAATATGCTTTGATACCTGCTTAATTTTCATGTGGTTAGCACTTAAACATTCACACTTTATACACAATTTATACAAAGAATGTTGTTTTGATAGCATTACGCTCAAGATCCCAAACCTGATTGCTATTGTATTACTTATCTTCACACAAAATTATGTGCTCTGTTACATCAAAAAATAAAACCAGCATAAAAGCACAAGCAAATAATAGACAAACTGGCACCAGAAGAGAAATGCCCAGTATTAGTTTACATTCAACTGGATACAGTGTAATAGGAAACAGCAATGCTTCAAGATACTGCATCTACTGGCCATAGCTTCCCTATTTTATTTTATTTGTTTCAAGAAAGGGCAAACACCTTTAAACACTTTGCTTTTTTCCATGCCTATTGGGTTATTTCTACCTCTAATGAGGACAATTGGCTATGGCAGTGATAAGTTCATTTACTAAACAGCTCACTGGAAGGTCAACTTGTGTTTTCAATATGAAACATTCTACATGGTGAAGTCAGATCCCTGAAGAGACTTGATATTATTTGCCATTCTTGAGGACTTCATTTTTCAATTGGAATATCAGTTCGACATACATGTGGCAACATCACTTCAAAATTATATGGAATCCTTCACCATTTTCAGCTGCAAAGAAAATAATGAGCAATTACAAAATGAAATTCATATTAAGCAATGTCTTAATTAAAATTTATGATGTTTCCATTTTATGTCTATGAAAAGGTGGAAATCATAGTTTATAACAATTTTTGGTCTCATAAAATTATTCTGCAAATCTATGGGCTCATAAAATCCTGAAGCTACTGTATGGTTTGTGAATTAACAATTATCATTTCATTTTACAGAAAGATTATAAATTTTAAAATTGATTTAACTTATATAAACTTATATAACTTATTAACTTATATAAAAATAGTAACTAGGAAGTTAGGGTGGTACTTAGATTTCCTCTTTCTGCTATTTTCCCCTCCTTTCAGTATCACCTGTCACAAATGTAACCTGACACTAATATTGATGTTCCAATAACATTAAAACATTTTTCTGTGTGAGGAACTATTTATAGGAATGGACTATAATTTTGGTTATATATGTTATATAACATTTGGTTAAATGTAATAATTTAGATGAAAAAGATCTTAAGTGTGGCTCTTTTCAGCAATTCTTGGGCAAAACTCAATGAAAAAAGGCAAAAAAACCATTTGGAACATGCCCTTAAGGGACATTTGTAAATCCATATAGCAATATCAAACCTAATGACAGCATCTCTGACATAAAAAACAGTATCTCTGACATAAAATGTTTCTGTATACACCATTTCACACGATTCACATTTCAGACTAAGTATGATGTGCAAATATCAAGGGAAATAATAAATGCTGGACTTCTTTGTGGCTTTTGTTTTCATTTTAGAGAGGTCAAAGATGAATTTTTTTTTCCTAACTCTAACTTGTTAATTTTTAGAAGTGCCAAACACTTCTAAACTGTGTCATAAAACACAGTTCATAGTTTTAACAACTGTACATAAGATTAATAATAGCTTGATATGCTTGAATGATACAACAAATAAAATGTTCTGTGGCTGCATATGAGTTTAGGGCTTACCTAGACTCATTCCCATGCTAAGCTGATATAAACATTTTATGTAAAAATAAATTCTAGAAAGCTTAATATAGTATAATTAAAAATCTCACAAGTGCAAAAGCTATTAGAGATATCCTAGATAATAATGTTTGATTTTCTCTGTTTTTATGATTACCATCATACCTTTTATTATGGTAATGAGGAAGCAGCTCTCATCTTCAAAGTTTTGGACCATCTAGGGAGGAAGATTATAAATACTATTGTTTGTTGACAATTGTCAGATCAGTTTAATACATTATATAAAAAGTTAACAAACAAACCCCATAAACAACTTGCTTTCTAATGCTCTTCTCTTATTTGAACTAATATTCTTTTCTGATTTAGTCAAAAGTACAGTGATATCTAATAATGCATAGTTTTAACGTTTTTATTGCATATTTTCAAAATGTGGCAATGTTATAGTTATTATATGGATCTGATATATTTATTTATAAATAAAGGTCACATACATAGTATACATAGTATATAGTATTACATCAGGGGTGGGATTCAATTTTTTTAACAACTGGTTCTGTGGGTGTGGCTTAGTTGGTGGGTGTGGCTTGGTGGTCATGTGACTGGGTAGGCGTGGCCAACTCAACATCACTCATGTCAAGGGGTGCTTCTCCTTGCCTGGCCTCTCATGACAGTGGGGATGCTGCAACGGTCATAAATCACTTTTTGGTCATCACTGAAAAATGGTCATAAATCACTTTTTTCAGTGCCATTGTAACTTTGAATGGTCACTAAATGAACTGCTATAAGTCAATAATTATCTGTACAAAAATATAAAAAGCTTCTTTGCTTGCAAAAAGCTGCCCTAAATACCAATCATTAGATTAAAAACACCTGCAAGCTGGAGTTACAAATCAGGCAGGGTACCAGAGCACCTTAAGGAATTAAAATAGTTAAAATGCAGTGATAAGTATCAGCAGCCAACTCTTCTCATAAAGTGAAACCCTTTAGCAGAGAGGTAATTTAAGCTCTTCAGAAAGCACACCCAGGAGAAGCAATCCTTAGATCTATTTGCACCGTTTAAAGATACCGGCTGGTCTCACTCATCTCACAAGATATCCTAAGGAAATCATCCAGATTGAAGGAAAGGTCACATGCCTCCCAGAAAGGCAGTAAAAAAATAAGCGCCAAGCTTGCATCCTGCCTCTTGAAAGTACACCCCAAAAGGACAGTGCCAGATACCACTAAAGCAGTGAAGGAAGACCCCCATCCCCAGATAGAAAAAGAAACCATGAGGCAGGAAAAAATTCAAACACAATACAAATAATTAAATCACAACAGTAGCTGTTGCTTGTTGAAACTGAAAAGGGAAAATTATCCCATCAATAAACACAGGATTAAATGTCACCAAGCACAGAATTAACCTTCACCAAAAACCAGTTTTAGATGAAAAATCAGAAAGGGTATGTAAACTCACGTTTGAATGTCAATCTTTCTAGCTAACCAAGAAGCCTTGCTGAATGTCACTCAATCTTGGTTCCCTGTCATTAAAAGCTTCTTTCTGACAGGTCTGCTTCATTATTCAATGATTTCTTCAAAGTGCTGATTGTTCAGGGAAGCATTTCCTCCCAAAAGCAGTGTAAAAATCTTAAAACAACCCTTCCCCTTTAAGAAAGTCAAGCCCCAGAAGCTCCGGAAACAGGAAGTCAAGCAAGAATGTAATAAGGGTGGAAAAAACCAAAAGGAGATTGCTTTTAACTACCGGTTCTCTGAACTGTTTAGAAAGCTAACAAGGGGTTCTATAGAACTGGTCAGAACTAGTAGAATCCCACCCCTGTATTACATAGTATACATAGTAATGTAGCTGGAATGTTCAGAAACATGGCAACAAAAATGAGACACTGTGTTCACAAAGAGAAGAATGGTCATGAGACAAGTGATAGTCTGAGCATTTTAAGTCAAAGGACGAGCTACTAATCATCCTTCTGTTCGTGAACTGTCACAGTTTTAAGAAGTAGAATCATATTCCAATGAGTTTTGCTTTATTCTAATTGCTTAATTGATAGGATGAAAGTTAGGCTTATAGGATCTGTTTGTATTGTAATATTAAAAATTTGACTAATTTAGTTGAATTTTAAGGAAAGCAAGATATTCATTAACTAATGCTATATGAAAAATAAATTTCATATATAAAATGAGGTTAGTATGCTTGTTTGTTGATTGTCTTGTCTTTCATTTAGAATTTGAATTCATACTGTTGATTGTAACATCTTTCTTAATCCACAGCAGTAGCAACTAAGCCAGGAAGAAAACACAAACTGATTGGGTTGTTTTGGAATTTTTGAAATATAAAATATGTGTTAGTGAGGAAAAAATGGAATTTACCTGATCACTGACAAGAATATGGATGCCAGTAGGACCTTGTCTGTAAACCTGATTAATTTGATGCAAAGGAATACTGAACACCAAAGCAAGCTTGCGAGTGACTTCCGAGGCAGCCATTTCTTCCAAGTAGATTGCATGGTAAACTAAAATAAAAAAATATCCTAAGAAAGGGTCTTCTAAAAGAACCCATAATACTGCTCTTCAAATACAAATACTTCTTGATTTCTGTCTTGTATTAAATTACTAGTATTCTATTCTATAAAATTGCAGAATTATGAAGCATAGCTTGCTAATATATGATCATTAAAAATATTTTTCATGTATAGATCTACAACACTGATGTTTGAAACATACAGCCTGGAGACCCACTTCATATATTCCTTTCTCTTCAATTCAAGTAAAAATCTGATTGTTTGAATTAAGTTCTGCACCTCAAACCTGAATGCCAGCTGCTGAAAGATGGCTCAAACATTATTGAAGATTATTACTATCTTTCATAATATTCTTGAAATAGAAGTAAGCCAAGGAACAAAATATTCTCTCCAAATAATTTTTGAAATAAAGAGTAAACTCTAAAATAATACAATAGCCATTAAAAGAACTATAGTTAAGCCATGCTGTATATGAAAGGAGAAAATGATCAGGCATTGATCTTTGCCTTTTTGTAAAAAAAAAAAATCTATATTTTTCTAAGTGGAAGCATACCCTTGTTCCATAAATATGTACAATCTTACTCTATGCAAATGTAATCAATCCTGACTTCAAATGCAACATCCACGGACAGCAGAATCTTTCCTGTAAATTGAGATTTTAAGACAGAAAACAATCCTGTACTTTGGGAAAGGAGATTTATTGCTGCCGTATCCTTATATCTGGAAGTGAATATGTGAATATCTCATAATGTCCTTTTTAATAAGTATCTAAAATCTAATATTCCTCCTTTCTCAGGCTATGCTTATCCAGTTGGCCTGGAAATGGATTGGGCGTTGTTGTTTTTTAAAGTTGTTCTGATGGCTAGGCGGTAGTTGGTAATATTGCACCATAAAACAGAATTGTTTAGGACAAAGCAGTATACAGAAAAATATCAATTGACTTCACAGGCAGTTAGATCAATATTCCCAGAACATTTCTATTTTTACAAGTGTACCTTTCTCAATGAATGGCTTAACTTCCACTACATATTTTTATATAATTTATCCTTTATGTCTTTACTCATTATGGAAAAACTTACTACAGCATGATTTTATAGGTTTTTAGACCAAATGTTTTCCCCAAAATTTGAATACAATGCATTTATTAATGCAGTCATGCTCCTTTTGTCATTGAAATATTATATTGAAATAATTTATTTATACAAAATGGTATCTGTTTTGTGATGAATATAAGTTTGTGAATCTTTCTGATATTTTAATTTTTCTTTGAAAATATGACCTAAAATGTGTTCTGTACTCCATATATTTCCCAAAACTAAATAAAGAGAACCTAACTAAACAATTGAGTTAAAATATATTTGTTCATTGATTTATTGAGAAAAAATGATACAATATCTATGTATGGCAAAAGTATGAAGAATAAAGCCAATAGTCTCCAAACAAACACTGATGCCTGCCTATAGTTTACAAAAAAAACCATATGGATAAGGCTGTCGGAAGAATATTCTGTGGTCAAATGAGACCAAAGAAACTTTTTTGCCTGAATGAAAAGTGTTGTTTGGCAAAAAGGCAAACACTTCATTCCAGAACCTTATTTGATGTGTGAAAAATGGTTGCAATATCATAGTTGCGGCTTGCTTTGTTGCCATTGAACCTTTGCTACTATTGATGGAACTACAAATTCTGAATTTTACCACTAAATTATTCAGGGAAATGTCAGGTTATCTGCCCATGAATTGAAGCTCAAGAGAAAATGGCTCATATTTTTCCTTGAATTACCCATAATTTGCTTCGATTTCTATTATTCATAAATCTGAAAAGTTGATTCTTCATCTAAGATGAATTAAGATGCCAAATTTAATCATATTAGGAAACTCTAGAAATCCTAACACACTTGTTTTTTTACAAATGCTACTTGTTAATCAAGTTTGAAGGGAACATATTTCCATATTTTTCGTTAGAGCTTTTTTAAGTCTCATCTAAGTCTCATTAATACATCTATTAACCAGTATCAGTTTGGCATTACTTGTTTCCGGGACAGCAAACCTAAATTGTATTTTAGAAAACTGGAAGCTATTTATGCATTCCAATATAAACTTCCAGCTACAAACTCACTTCTGTGTATTTTTTCAAATACAAGTTGTGGTACAAATAAAATTTATAACAACATAGTATATAATTCAAAATAGATCTGTCCCACTAAAAAAGATTAAAAGATTTTTTCATTCTTTAAAAAGGCTGGTTTCAATGCCTCAAAAAATCTGTAATTGACATACAAAGAACATTATTCCAAGATACAGGAACAGTATATTTGATACCAAGAGAAATTACATACCGAATATTGCACCATTATTTTCTCCATTGCCTGAGTCTTGTTGCCTTTCCAGTCGTATAGTTCTTGACTGCTCTTGGCATACATAAATTGTTAGACGTGGCCTAACAGACCTAGAATGTAAAGAAAGAAATATTTTTTTGAAGAATACTGTGAATGCATGCTCATTCTACTATATTACTTTAATGTTATTCTTTGTGAACTACGCAACATTTTATCACATATTGTTTAGCCAAGAACCATTGAAGATATCCCAATATTGGTAAATTAAGTTCTACATTTAAATGAAAGAAGTAAAACATTGATGTTTGGTGTAATTTTTGTAAAACAACTACCATAGTAGAAGTAACAGCAAGTTAAAAAAATATGCCATTTTAATTCACAATTAGAATATCTGCAATTGTTAATATTTAGTAAGTAGCCATGACCTCAAGAACTTTAGTTTGGTTATAGCTCACCTAAATGAGAAGCTTTGTCTCTTGGCAACAAACCCATCCGTCTTCAAGAAATCAGAACTGCCCAACTGCATTGCTATCAGTCTTACAGTCTACCTTTGAGCTCATCAGTGCCTGCATCATATCTGTGGCCTGCCCTGAAGGTGTACAACAAAACATTCTTCTTTTGAGCACAGTACTTGCAACTCTTGCATGAGCTCACACAGGCATATGCCAATCGAAAAACTAAATTAGCATCTCCCAAACCCTCTAGTCTAAGACAGACTGTTTTATATGATTGACATAGGTAGAGTTGACACTAATGAACTATTTACCTTGATTTAAGTGCATTGTAAAGCCGAATTCCATCAGCAGGACCACAGATTTGTATCAGATCTTCTCTTGTCAGCTTCAATAAATCAGCACCTACAAAGACATTCAGAATGTATACAAAGCAGAAGGGTAGAAATCAATTTACAAAATAAAACTGTCTTTCAAAGATAGATGACAATATTTTTGAATAAGTTACTAATAACCTTTGTGAATATAAACATTTGGCTTTAAGGAATTCTAAGCAAATTAAATTTGATGTACACTTAATCTCTCTACTCATTTAAAATCAATAATTAATACTCAGTCTTCATATTTTATGGTAATTCAGAGCACACTTACAAGATGTCTTAAAACACTTCAGAAAAGCACAGAAAAATAAAAACATAAACATGATTATTACATGATAAAGATTATATTAATGGCATAACTAATGTCATATTCAGTTCTTTCATTGTTGTTTTTTAAAACTGTAACAGCTGCTAACAGTAGTTATGCTTAAACTGCATAGCAATGGATGTTTCAGTACCCTCATGTCAAAAACACTTAGCTGAAATAAAACCCATACACAACTACCTACTTCTGTATGGATAAACTTAGCTGGCTCTAGAGGGACAACTGAATATAATTTTGTTTTCTATATGCCAAACAATAATACCTATATGGGAAAAAAATCCTTACTTATAGCCAAATCATTCTCTCTGTTTATATGGATTTAATTGATTCCAGTAACCTCCACAGGGAAAAAGAAACTATCCAATTGTTTTGCCTTAGATGTTTAATGGATCCTGTTCCATTCTCATTCTTAAACCCCTGAAGCTAGAAATAAGATATTATTGGGAGCATTTGCCAAGATTATTCAAGAACAATCCTCTCTAGTCACTGATCCATGGGACCTGATCCATGGGACCAAGGAGTTCCAGAAGATGAAGTAACAGAAAACATGGCTAGAGCAATGATGTCATAAGAAAAATATATTTGACCAAGCAACTGACTAAAAAAGTCTAAATTGACTTTTTGGTCACAATTGTGTACGTTGCCTATTTTTCCTTAATTTCTCAGAACAAAGATACGAATGTTATGCTATGCTGTCATATATTGCATTATTTACACACACATATATGGAGAGAAGGATTTTTCTTTCTATTTTTACATAATGTATATTTTGTGTGTATTTTGCAATTGTTTTCAGTTGCATGAAACCATTAGAGTAAACTAAATATCTGGAAGATATTTTTGCTCAGAGTTAGATGCTAGATGAACAAATCTTGCTGAGATGACTGAGGTAGGATTATCTAACATTGGTTTGAACTTGTTAATGCTAAGCATAGATCTAAGGTACTCTGTTCTATTAGCTCCAGTGTTGGTGGACTAAATTTCTATCCTACCTGGTTGGTAGCCTGAAAGGTCACATTGATAAATCATTGAGTCCACCTCCTACCTTGAAAGAGATTGTAATATAGTCACTCTTCAAGAAATTACTTCTACCAATGTAGAGATATAGGAAGACAAGAAATCATCACTCTACCAATGCAGACCCACAGAGGGACAACTTGAAGCAAATATTCAGATACTCATATATTAACAAACAGAACAGGAACATTCCATAAATCCTGGGGAGATATTAAAACACTTGGGCTGACTTGTCCTTACTGATTGGGGATAAGAGGGAGGGAAGGAAAAACTCAATCAGACTTGCAAGATTCTGTTATTATAACCTATATCAATGGACTATAATTTTAGCTTCCTACGGAGTCTGTTTCTAGATTTGGTCTACATGAACTGGTTCATTTTAGACAATCAAGATCTCCAACCTTCTTTTGAATGAAACCAATTAGCTGAAATCTTTTCAATCAAGATTCAGCTATGGTGTTGCAATGAACACTTTTTGATTACTCTCGTTGAGGATCATTGGCAAGAGCAGTGTAATCAATGCTGCTATCGTGGTTCTGCTGGATTTCTAGGCAACCTTCAGCACCAACTGTGGTATTTATCTGGACTGATTATATGGATTGGAAAAGGGAGGCATTATTCCTGAATGGTTCCTCCTGAGTGTCTGGTTACAGCTGATTGGGGACAGGTTAAATTCTTAATCATTTCATTATTGCCTGCTGCAAGGCTCAGTCTTCTCAACTATTGTTAAACATCTATGAGACTATTGGGAGATGTCATTCAACCAACACAGAATGAGATATTAGGTCATTCACAAGTACCGGTGAGATATTAATAAACTGAGGTCACCCAGTTATGTATTTCCACCCTGACTGGATTGGTGATATAGTGGAACTCCTGAATGGATAATCAACTATTTTTATGGCCTGAAACTATCTTAGAATATATTGACTGATCTTGGTTTTACTCTTTGTATACTAATACTGTAAATAACTCAGATCTGTGGAAATATAGCATATGTTGTAATAATACATTCATAAATTGTAGATACTTTTATAGTATGTCATAAGATATCAAAACTCCATGCATTATTTAGGTAATCAAAATGGATTTCTCTTTAATTGCATTTAAGGAAATGCTCTATGAAAATTAACTTTCAAGTGCTACTTTAAAAAGTTGGGACTGTTATCCATTGTTTCTATTTAGTGATTAAATAGTTCTATTTAATTTTCAATTACATTTATCCTGGGGTATCAAGTATTTTTCTCTTGTGTAAAAACAGTGTTCTTGGTTTCTGATGCTGTTTACAGAATAATTATCAGTATACAGTAGAGGGACTATAAAGAGAAGGCTATAGAAGCAACCAATTTGCTTGAAGATACGGTGAGATGGTGTGGCACTTGAGGATTAGCGTAATGCAAAACTTATGCTTTGTGGAGACTCAACTCTTTTAACTTTTATAACCAAATCCTAAATTCTTATTTGACAAATACATTGATAGTACTAGAAAGAAGTTGTTTATATTTACTTATTTGTAGAAAGGACACTTAACCAGATGTAGACTGGCATGGCCAAGGCTGAAGATGGTTCAGCCTTAGGATGAGAATCCAAGCAGAAGTTATCTACAAAGTTGGATTGGCAATAAAATGGCAAAGAAATATGATATACATTAGTACCAAAAATAATTTTAACCTCCACTGAACTGATGAGGTATATATTGGTAGCAAATATTTAGCAAAAAAATCTTTGAATCAGTCAATTATTCACTCTGTAGATACATGAAAAATGTTCCCTTTTAGATGCAGTAAGGTCATTTTTATAGTTTGCTATAAAAATAACAATTAAAATCACAAAGATAGTACCTTGGATATATGTAATCTATAATTATACAAATAAATCAAACTGAAACTTACATTATTTACTTTTAAAATACAAAGCAAACTCTGTAAAATATTGAGCTACCTGAGAAATTAGAAAACACCCTTGTATAAGTGGAAAACCTATGTTTAAGCAGCCACTGCTGGGTTTCCTGGATTGTGGCTGATGGATGAAGTTGCTGGGAGAAAGGAGAAAAAGCAGTGTACAATGTTATGATTTTTTCAAGATACTAAATCTGAAAATATGGCAAGTTTCTTGATAGATGAGAAACTGGCACTTACCTCACCACCCGTTAAGGAAACACCTTCTCCTTGATGATTTGGAGATGATGAATTACTAAATAGGCAGAAGTGTGACAAAGGAAAATCACAAAATTAAAAAAAAATGAAATCAGGGCTCTGATTCAGTAGGATATATCTGAACTACTTTCCTATTAGCTGTTTTCCACAGCAAAGAGTTTATTTCTTGAAAGTAACAACATAAAATTAATGATCTCTTTGGAAGCATTTGGACTGTCATAAACAGCACTTAAAACAATCTAAGATGTTGTAAGGTAATTTCATTTGCCATGCTGGAAATAGAAAAATATTGGTATTAGACAGAATTTGGTTAGACAAATTTATTTATTTTCACGTATTTGTATGCCACTTTTCTTGTGACTCTTGCTTAATAAGCGTCCAATAATAGTTTGACTCTGTTCAACCTAACTGACAATTCAATCACTTGTCAATTAGACCTTTGTCCCTCCTAGCTGGTGAAAGCCTTCAGAAAAGGTCACCAGTAGGTGGATTCATGCAGTGATAAATTCCTCTTTGCAAGAGAGGACATTCCTGAGATGGTTTAAGGAAGCACTGGTTTGTCCTATCCTTAAAAAAACCATCACTGGAACCCACTTAACAACTTTTGTCTAGTCTCCCATCTTCCCTATTTGGGTAAGACAGTAGAAAAGGTGGTTGCTTGGCAGCTCCAGAGGGTCCCAGATGAAATTGATTTCTTGGACCCCTTTCAGTCAGCATTTAACCTGATTATGAGATAAAGGCAGTCTTGGTCACACTCATGGACGATCTCTGGTAGGAGCAGGGTAACGCAACATTTCTCATTCTGCTTGACCTCTTAGCGGCCTTTGATACCCATTGAGCATGATATCCTTTTGGGTTGGCTACATGAGATGAGGCTGGGCAGCAGAGTTTTGCATGGTTCAGCTCCTTTTCCCAAGGTCAGTCCCAATCTTTGTTGATAAGCAGTGAGATCTAGCTCGTCTGCTCATTAGCAGTGTCTCACAAGGCTCAATACTCTCTCCTCTTCTGTTTAACACCTCCACGAAGCCATTGGTTGAGATCATTCACGTCTTGAAACATCACCAATATGCTGATACTCAGCTCTACCTGGTGACCTGAGTGATGCTGCCTCTGCCCTGTCATGGTGCCTGGAGGCTGTAGGGATCTGGATGGGGGACTTCAACTGAACTCTAGCAAGACTGATATGGATGCATGGAGCCTTAAGATTTGATTTTTGTTATCATTAGTTCTGGATGGGATTGCATACTCTGTTTAGATTCACTTTGCAACTTAGAGGTCTTCTGGACTAGTTGATAGGAGAGCTTTTGCACAGCTCCAGTCTATACATTTACTGCAAACTTTCCTGGATCATGACTTCCTGAACTCAGTTGCCAAACCCAAGTTATCCCTCTTCTGGACTATTACAATATGCTCTGTGCTAGGTTACCTTTTAAATCCATTTGGAAGCTTCAGCTGGTGCAAAGTGTGACAGTAAGAGCAGTCTTTGGAGCTCATAGGATGGCCCAAAATCCACTTCTGCTCTGCAAATTTCATTGGCTATTGGTCTGCTTCTGAATGAGTTTGAAGGGTGGATAATCAAGCTCTTAATGGCAGAGATCCAGACTATCTAAAAAAATATTCAATCCCACGAGGGCAAGCTCATCCAATCTGTGCCAGCAGAGAAGATTACTATGTATCTGCCCCCTCCCCTCCCCAGAGCCTGAAGACTTGGCTCTATTGGTTAGTCTGGGGACCAAATGGGGAGGGTGGCTGCTGCACTGATGGCAGTCTCCACCTGCCCCCCCCCCTGCACTATGCTCTCCACCAGCCTATCTTTTTGATCCTAATGGAGTATTCTCTTTTTTATTGTTCATTTTATTATTCTATTACTTTATTTGCTTAGTTTATGTTCTTTTCATCTCTTCCTTTTTATTACTTTAAGCTGCTTAGAGTAACCCCCAACGAGATAGGTGGCAATAAATTTAATAAGAAGAATCCAAAAATTTGTATAAATAAAAAATGGGAAAAGTATTAAGTACTATTGATAAAAACAATAATATAGTTAGTTCTTGATTTATGGCTATTCATTTAACAAGGGATCAAAGTTATGATAGACTCTGAAAAAGTGACTTACAACCCATCTTCGAAGTTACACCATCATACTACTCCTGAGATAACATAATTATAATTTAGATGTTTGGCAAATCACTTACATTCACAATGGTTGCAGTCTTTTGGATCACATGATCATGATATATTACTTCTCAACAAGCTTGTGACAAGCGAAGTCAATTGGGAAAGCTAGATTCACTTAATGAGCATGTGATTCGCTTTAAAACCACAGTAAAAAGGTCATAAATTGGGTTTATCATGTGATGACTTAATCACATTACAGAGCAACATAAATTATTGTCCCAATTCTACGTCGAGGACTACCTTTGAAAAAAATGCTTTTCAATTTGCGAGCACTAAAGGAAAATTCAGATAAAAGATTTAATGTATTAAAGTAGTTTTAAATCAACCCAAGGAGCACACCCAGATGCAGGTAAAAGCAGCTAAATCAGACTTGCAATTGGGTGGTTTGGAACTGGGCAGATGTGAAGGAGAAGGAGCTTTGTTTGATAATAAGAGGCTTGTCGGAGGAGGCTGAAAGAAGCATGAATTCAAAAAACTTAAAGATGATAGAATGAGTGATGATCTGGACCTTTTTAAAAAAACTGATGGATACAGACTTATTTTATGAAATTAGAAGTCAATTGTCAAGAAATGTGTTTCGATTCATAGGAAAATCTGAACAAGTGCTGCAGAGATATTTACAACAGATCTATGAGTGTGGGGAATGATGTAATTGTTTGAAAAGAACCAAGCAATAATTTTAAGGAAATATTTTATTATTAAAAATCAGGATATTTGATTTTTAATGGGCTTATGGTAGATTAGAAGTTGTTGTGGACTTTCTGCAAGTTAAATACAGTAATAGTGTGTTTACAGAGGGCTTTGAAGTTTGATAAACTTCTGTTCACTGTTGTTTTTTATGGTAGATAGATGTTAAGTCAAATTGGTTGAAGAGAGCTGTAGAAGTTCATAAATTGTGGATCTGTTTTGCAAGTGGACGGAAACTACTACTGTTGAAATATAGTTATCTGTATTCAACTGGGAGGACAATCTATGTATTTTTAACGACCTGGCAATCTCATGCATTGGGACAGAGTTGGGGTGACTGGATGGAGCTGAGCAGTTACTGGCCAGATGCCCTTCCTGATGCCTACATGGAGCTCACCGCAGATCATTTCTTTGTGCCTGCTGCTAACTAGGATCAAGCGTCCCAATTGTGAGGCAACAGCTCCACCTCTAGATCACCAGCCACACATTGCATATTTTTTGCCTTGTTTAGTTTTGTTCTTGTTCCCTTTGTATTTTAACTTTGGAAATAAAACAAAAACAAAACAACAATAGTAATAACGATGATGATGATGTCAAGGACTACCTATAACATCTAGAGCAGGGATGTCAAACTCAAGGCCCACAAGATGGATCCGGCCCGCAGGGTGGTTAGATCTGTCTGTGGGGCCACCTTGGAAACAGCATAGGACCAGCCCGTGATGCCTCTGCCAGTGAAAATGGAACTGTTTTTGGCTGCAATGGTCTCCTGCAGCTTTCTGCTGCAGCCCTCCCAAGCTCCATTTCACTGGCAAAGCACTTGGGCCACCACAGGTGCCCATCAGCACAAGTGATCTTGAGCTGCCCCCACCCCCTGAAGTCAAACACAACCGTGATGCAGCCCACAGTGAAATTGAGTTTGATACCCCTGATCTAGTGTTATTAATAAGCTGGGTTTCTTATCGGAATGCCATCACCATCTTAAGAAAGGTACCTGGGTAGGATGGGCAGATTCTACCAGAAGATCTTTTCAAAGATAATAAGGATCCAAACCATAATAAGCTTTATTGGCAATACCTTGAACTGGGCATTGAAGCAAGTAGTTAGCAGCACAGCCTCTGCAATATTAGTGAAATCCTGCTAAATTAGTCAGCAAGTGGTCTGTTGATTACTTGCTAGTTGCAAATTCTGAATTGACTTCAAGGGCAACCCCTTGGAGGCATAATGAATTGCAATAATTTAGCTGAGTTGACAAGTGTGTCAGTTAACATCTTCACTGCTTCCTGGTCCAAGAAGTGGGGAAATTGCTGTATTTAATGAAGCTGACAAAGGCTCCTCTGACCATGGCTTCCAGCTATTTCTCTAAGAGGAACTGTGAGTTAGGAAAAAGCTGAGAGTATTCATCACCCCTTATATGTCAAGTGCTATAATGGAATTATAGTTTCTGCACCAGCAATAACCCTGTTTTGTTAGGATTCAACAATCTGCTTAAGCTTGTCCAGTCCCTCAGAGTGTTCAGATTCCAGTCTGACATCTCGCTATCTGTCTCTTCCTCTCTTTCATACAGAAACAAACACACACAGTTCCACCTGAGCCTAGCAGATAAAATGAGCAGTGTCAACAGACTGATAATCTAAACCAAAATTAATGAAGAATCCTGTCTCATGAGTGCCATATAGGGTGCTAAACAAATGAGAAATGGGAATCAAGCCTGAGGTACACCATACTAAAGTGCCCCATGGCTTGATCTATTCTTCATAAACAATACTGACTGGAACTGCCCACTCAAGAAATGAGAGGAATGACTGTAAAGCATGGTCTTAAATCTCCAAACCTTGCAGGTAGCGCATAACAATAATTATCTTTTAAAGAATACCAATAAAATATCTAGCAGGATCAGTTAGAGCATACTATTTACCTCCAAGTCCTATCACACATCAATAAGACTGTTTTAATCTTTATTTTTGTAATATAGCAAGAAATATTGCAGGTTTTTTTTGATATTCTCAAAAGCTTAATTGAAAACTGCCTTCCCATTTTCTCTTTATTTCTGTGATGCACCATGTCATAATGTAAGAGAGTACATTTAAATCAAAGAATGCTATCACATTAATTATATTGAAATTTCTGACTGGCAATTTTATTTTTGCCATAACACTTAAAATTAGCTTGAATTTCAATCTTGATTTAATATGGCATATCAGCTTAGAAGTTAAATATACCTGTCTGGGATACTGTAAGTAGTGTGTGGAGAAGAAGTAAAAGCGGGTGTTGGGGTAGGGCTATTATTCACAAATGCAGGTGTATCAGGCCATGGTGAACACTAGAATAAAGAAAAATATTAAACAGCACTTTAACCATTATCATGAATTTACAGGAATTTAGCTTTTGTATTAACTTTTACAAGTTTCAATCCTCATTTTATTAAATAATATCATCCCTTATTTTTGTGCAGGCATTTGTAAGACCTTTGGTTAGTATTGTCTTTATTCTTTAGGTTATACACAGACTTGTTCTCTCATGATATTCCATTTGGCAAAAAAAAAATGTCAAAGCTCTATATTTAAATTCTGTACAAAGTACTCTGAATTAGTGATGGTATCTATGGAAAAAGTAATGAGAAAGCACAATTGTAGTTTTACAGGAAATAATCTTAAGCATTCTGACTATCAATTCACTATCTGAATTTTAAAAAAATTCTCAGATGTCATTTCATCTTTTAACCCTATATGATTAAAATGTAACTGGAGACTTGGGTAGAATAAATTACTAATTATTTTAAATGCAAGTGGATTCTCTAGAAAAGCACCAAGAAACTAAATATATGTGCATTAGTTATAAAATTCTTATAATCTTTAACGAGAAGACAATAATATATTATGCAATGTAATACTGTGAATCTTTGAAACTCATCTAAACCACACAGATTAATAGGTAACTGTCTGTAACTCTTTAGAGCAACTGCCTCTCCAGGATCCTGAAGCTGCCAAACATAGCTCGGGTAGAATTTTGGGAAAAGACATACATTTAGGAAGTTGCTGGCGTGCACTTCAGAGCAATTTGCTGCAACCTATGACTTGATGATAAGCAGTTTTTACCTGAGATGGGAAAAATGGAAATTATGCACCACTTTACAAAGTGAATTGATGGATTATATGTTAGTGGTAGATATGATGTAGATGTGTAGAGAATCATGCAAAACATGTAACTAATCTTGCAGTATCAGTGCAGTATTATATTAGGAACCAATTACACTGCAACTTCTCCCAGTCATTACTATTCTTCTCACATATTTTCTCAGGAGAGATTAACTCACTTAGACCTTTTTTAGATTCCAAATCTTATAAACCATTAACAAAGGGAATTGGAGTTTATACATCTGGAGCGTCCTGGTTTCCTTTTGCTGAATTAAATAAATAGCAAATCATTTTCAGCAGAAAATTTTGAAGGACCAGTGGACTGTATCCTACTGCTATGACTACTAAATAAACAATACACTCTTTTTGTCATCTTGTCATCTCTCTATATTTAAAACCTTCTTGCTCCTCAGCAATGAAAAATGATGACTAAATAAAACAAATACATTACTGATAGAGTATTGACAGCTTTGTTCATTTCTGATGAGCAAGAAGCAGGGGTGGGATTCAAATTTCTTATCAACCAGTTCTGTGGGCGTGGCCTAATTTGTGGGTGTGACTTGGTGGTCGTGTGATGGGGGCATGGCTTGCTGACTGGGCATGGCTTGGTGGTCATGTGATTGGCTGGGTGTGGATAGGTGGTCATATGACTGGGGTGGGCATGTCTAGGTGGCCATGTGACTGGCAAACCAAATATAAGCGGTCCTTGCTTAATGGCCAGCTGCTTAGCAAGTATTCTAATTTACGACTGATCTCCCCAGAGCTACTTGTATGCACACACACACACACACACACACAAACATACAAACACACACACACACACACTTATGACCAGTTACAACATCCCTTTACTTACAGTAAAAAAATGACAATAAAAGTTATTTTATCCTATCTTCCTTCTTTCCTTCCCAACCCCATTCCTCCCCACACCCTATTTTGTGTTGGCTTCCCAGCCAAATACTTGCCAGGTCTGATTCTGTTTAGTTTTCTAAAATCAGTCTACTGAAATAAATACCAAACTGAACTGCCCGATAATTTACCTATCATCACTATCTTGCACCTAATTTCAATGTAAACACCCAATCTGCAACAATATTACTAAATTTTGCTAGACATCTGTTGCATGTCCTTTTCTTTTCCTTGATAATCTAGTCTTTGCTGGGAAAAACAGTCTGGAATCACTGGCAAGAGCAGCTTAGCGCAGAGAAAAGTCGTGCATCTCCCCATATTCCTTTCTCTGCGAGCAGCCTCTTCACCTCCTCCTCATTTATAAAGCACATTAAGTTTAAAGGTGCTGTGAGAGGCTGCTCACTGAGATAGGAATATGGGGAGAAATGAGACTTTTCTTCATGCCAAGAGGGCCATTCTCTCTCTCGCCTCCACTCTTGGCACAGAGAAAAGTCGGTGGGAACAGCAGTTGAGGCGGTCGATCACCCATCACACTCCCCATACCTGCGGGGGGTGGGGGATGCAGCAGCAGCGAGGCAGCAATGGCGATGGCAGCAAAGAAGGCAATGGCGATTCTGGCAGCGTTGGGGCTTCTGGGACTAGCTCCCCACCACCATCCATGCAGCCACACACGTGGTGCATGGGGCTTCCAGGCTTGCTCCCCACAGCTACTGTCAGCTGTCCTGGACTTGATCAAGGAGCGCCTTGCTGACATGAGCCTCTCCACATGTTCCTACTCTCTTGCTGGGAGAGTAAGAGAGTTTCCCGGGACAGCAAAAAGCTTGCAAGTCCCCGTCCCATTAGAAATGGCTCCCGAGCAGCAGAGAGAAGCAGGTTCAACCTGGCTGTTTCTCTGCTGCCCAGGAGCCGTTTCCAATGGGAGGGGGACTTGCAAGCTTTTCACTGTCCTGGGAAACTCTCTTACTCTCCCAGTTGGAGCAACAGGTGAGAGAAGCAGCTGCTGACCTGGCCGGAGCCTATACGAGCCTCTCCATGTGTTCCCCAGTGGAAGGCAAGTGGTGGGGGAAAGGTGACTGGCGCTAGCAGCAAAAGGCAAGTGGGGGGGAAGGCAACCGGCACCGGCAAAAAGCAAATGGCAGCAGTGGCAAAAGGCAAGTGGAGGGGAAAGGCAAGTGGTATGGGGCGGAAGGTGACCGGTGGTGGCAGATCCTCACTCACCCAGGGAGATCAATTCAGGCAGAGCCACAGCAGAAGGCAGGCAACAATGGCTGGCCTGGTGGGCATGCAAAAGCAGGCTGCAGGCAGCAAATAAAGACTGACTGGGCAGGGAGCAAAAAAGTAGGTGGAGAGGGGCGGGGCCAGCCAGAAGCTCGATTTACCAGTTCTCCAAACTACAGAGAATCATAACAACCAGTTCAGTACTGGTAGAATCCCACCCCTGGCAAGGAGGAGTTATGTATTTCAGACAACATAAATATATATTTCAGTTATAACATTCAACATATTTGTGGGCAATTACATTTCTTACAAAGGCACTGTTCATTTTTTGATATACTTTTTAAAGTTGTATTGGTTTAATATAAAATTAGGACTGAGAGTTATGAAAAAGTATCATTAAATCCAGTTTGAAATGTTGAGCTTATATTTTATATTTATTATACTGTTAAAGGGCAATTGCAGTAAATTATATAACATTTTAATTTATAGTATATTATATGTAGATTATTGCAGGTAAGTAGATATTAATAATAGGGTTGCCATTAAATAAACTTCTCAATACTATACATTGGAGGAAAAACCATTAATCTTTAGTTGACATTTATTATCCTTATCTTTAACACTATACATTTAAAAACTAAAGTTAATGGAAATATTTAAATACATTAATAGCATTTAGGCCTTTTATTATTTCCAACTATCAGAGTATTGGAAAGAAACAATATGAATGGGAATATGACAACTCTCCAAATGCTGAACAGAACCGAACCAAATCCAGTGTGGGAACAGAAGCTGGTAAAATAAAAATGAATTCAAAAACTGGTTGGACTTGATGAGAAGTTTCAGAAAAAGAAATCCTAGAAGAAATTTCCCATATATCCCCGTGGAAGAGGCAGATGGTATAGTTTAGAATATTGCCAACTCCTTGATTCTAAATTTTCTTCCACCCAGGTCACATGACCTGCAGTGTTGCTATTATTAAGGGATTGAAAAGAATTCCAGAAGCCATGCTCTGCATGCTTTCCCTAGCTTGTTGAACAGTTACATTTGGAAGAACACATCTGATTAGGCAAAGCTTTGCAAATTGCTCATTACTTCTCAGATGGGCTTTTAGTGTTGGCTATCTTAGGCAAGGCAGATTTGCAATTCCTTGTACTTAATGAAGCAGTATAAATTATCTGACTACAACAATACTCGTTTCAGAAAGCATCCATGCTAAAGCTATAGGAAAAGAAGGAATACATTAAGAACATGGGAAATTGTAATCTCTTTATAAATACAAAGCCTGCGGGATTCAAAAAAAGAACTTTTGTTTTGTTTTGTTGTCTGTACATGGATTTTGATTTTACTATTGCAAAAGCTAGCACTTGTTCTAGTCGGCATATTGACAAGACAGAATCAGTAAAGACCATCTCAAGGATATACCAATCCCCGGCTACATCTTTCTATTAAAATCATCAATCAAATTCCTTTATGTCAAATGAGCAAGGCAGCTAAATAAAAATCATGTGCCCTTTGTAAAACCTGACTCTTCTCTGGAGTGTATTGGAGGGAATTTACTGATTTCCTCATAAATAGTAGCTAGGAATTCTTGGCTATATTCGATTAAGAAAGTTGCTCTTAATCACAAAACATATCATAATCCATGGAGAGAATACTTTGGCAGAGCCTCCATCGAACAAAAGTGTTCAATTTATTAAGATCCATTAAGATCACTGAAAAACCATACTCATGAAATTTCAATTCAAGCTAGGTAATAGGACATTTATCAACATTCAGAAGGTGAAAATAGTCAAGCTAGGTAATAGGACTTATTTATCAACATTCAGAAGGTGAAAATAGTCACCTTGATCTCCTTCAAGAAATAGTAGAATTAAAAATTTTTTTTTTTTAAAGATAAGATTCTGGAATGGTTTTTACTGTAGCACAATATTGATAAGGAATTGCAGTTGGCATCATAAAAAGATAACAGGAGCACTCTAGCATTAGCCTCTTTAAGGATGGACAGGACTGACATGCTATAGGAATATGTATATGGGCCCAGTAGAGAGTATTCGTATATACATATATCTAGTCCTAGTTTTACTAAAGATAGCAAGCATAATAAAAAGACCAGCTATTCAGGCAGACTGATTCTTAAAAGCAGCCTCCATTCTAACTCTTAGACAATCCCCTTTATTATAAATAGAAGAGGATTATATTGCCACTGTTCAATAAATTATGTGAAAAAATGTACATATTTGCACATTAAGCATACATACAAACAGAATTTTTATATAGTTCTTACATTTTAAAAAATCAAGAAATAGAAAGCATATAATCAAAAAGGCAAGAGGATCTGCAACCATTTTGATGAAATAGTTCACAAAACATGCAAGCCAAAATAAGGAAATATACATCTCAACTAACTGATTACTGCTATATCTGATTTCATTAATTACATATGAGGAATTGGCTTTCAAGAACAGTTTGTTATTTAACATAGCCATTTCATGTGTAAACCACAGTTCTTGATTTTTATCAGTGTTACAGGCCTGCTAACATTTTAATTAGGTGTTAGATTTAGGAAACATTTCTCACTAAGAAATATGTATGAAATAATTTGCAGTAAGCAAAAGTGAATAAAATTAAACCAGCCCAGGAAAAATCTTTGTTTTCGATCATGGATGATAGAAATTGGTCCTATATCTAACACTGCACAAGATAACTTGCACAATGAAAAGTAAGCAGAAGTCCCTTACACTGCCTCGCTTTGCCAGAGAATCACCGTAGTCTGCTGGCAAAGTCCGCTTGCTGGACTTTTTCTGCTCATGTTCAACTGCATCTTCAATTATAGGCTCAAGCCTTATCTGGACAAACATCAAAGATGTGGATCAATTTCTTTTCATTATACAGTGAGGAAAAACTTTAAAGCCTTTTAAAAACATCTGCAATCTTTAGAAAGCTATAGAAAACTCACTGGTGTTTAAATAAAAAGAAATACAAAAGCCCAGTGAGGCTCTGCCCATGATTCCATTAACTTTTAAATACAATTGTAGGTCCAAACTGACAAGGAAAAAACAAATTGTAATACAATATTTTTAGCACTGGGTTTTAAGATACATACGTGAGATAGCCATGAGTAAAAATAAATGCTTTAACAGAGTATCTATTTTCTTGATCCTAAATCTTATAGGTCTTCTGTTTCATTGTGATCTACAACTGCCAAACAAACTTTGCCTTTATATAAATTTTATTTAAGCCCCTCCCCTTTGAAACCTAACTTACTGCTTAAAGTAGGCCAGGTATACTTTGCATTACTTCTCTTAACAAATAAAACATTTCATTATTTTTACCTCAGTGAGAATTGTAGTATCATATGAAGGCTGGTATTTTTCCTTTTCATGAGCAGTTCGCTTCTCCATCTTTTCTCTATCTGTTTTTTGTTTTCTGTCTGCTCCTTTTGGCTAAAACCAAAATTATACAGGGAGGGGGGGAGAGAAGGAAGGAAGGAAGGAAGGAAGGAAGGAAGGAAGGAAGGAAGGAAGGAAGGAAGGAAGGAAGGAAGGAAGGAA